TTGCGAGGTGGGATTTCCATGACCTCCAAACGATACGCCAAAGCCAAACAACAAGTACGTTCCCGATCACGACCCCGGCACAGCGACCAAACACATACTCGACGCCAACAACCAGTATGGCTGGGCCATGAGTCAGTATCTCCCCACCGGGGGATTCGAATGGGTCTCCTCCCCCGAGATGATTGACGTGAATAGCATAGCGCCGGAATTCGAACAAAGGCTATGTGCTCGAAGTGGACTTGGACGATCCCGCAGAACTACACGAATCGCACAACAGCTATCTGCTAGCTCCCGAACGATTGATGGTGAACCCGGACTGGATGTCCGAATATCAACGAAACGTGCTGGGAGACAACAAGCTGGCTAACTTTGAAAAACTTGTGCCGAACTTGATGAACAAGACAAAATACGTCATTCACTATCATAACCTGCAGCTGTACTTGTCGCTGGGAATGAAACTCACGAAAATTCACAAGGCACTCGAGTTCGATCAAAGTCCATGGATGGAACCTTACATTCGGTTGAACACGAATCTGCAAGAACAAACAACGAGCGACTTGAAAAAAAACTTGTACAAGCTCATGAACAACTCAGTGTTCGGCAAGACGATGGAGAATTTGAGAAAACATGTTAACGTGAAATTAGTCAGATCCAGCGAGGAAGAAAAAATCAGGAAACTTATAGCCAAAGCAAGATATTCGATGACGATTTGGCAGCACTGCACATGAACAAAAGCCACATCAGATTCAACCGGCCCGGTTACATGGGGATGAGCATCCTCGACTTATCCAAACACTTGATGTACGATTTCTACTACAACGAGCTGAAGAAACAGTACGGCGACAAGTGCGAAGTGCTGTACACGGACACAGATTCCCTGCTGATGGAAATTCACACCGAGGACGTGTACGAGGACATGAAGAAACACATGCACCTGTACGACACCAGCTACTACCCTAAAGATCACCATATGCACAGCCAAATCAACAAAAAAGTGCTCGGCAAGATGAAGGATGAATGCGCTGGCATGTATTCCATCAAGAAAGCAGACGACGACGACGAAATCAGAAAGGCGAAAGGCGTGAAAAAACATGTGGTGAAAAAACACATTAAAACACGCCAGATTCAAGGAAGCCCTGTTCAAGAATAAAACGTTCAAACACCAGATGAACATGCTGAGAAGCGACGGACACAGGATATACGGACTGAGAATCTACAAGATGTCGCTGTCTCCCATGGACACGAATCGATGGATCGCCATCGATGGAGTCACCACTTTCTCGTACGGACACACACATATATTAAATAATTAAAAGCGCACGCTAATACATACATCATGGACAAACTTTATTACAGCCCATGCGGTACTGGAAAGGCACCGACGCCATCCCCGAAACTCGCCAAAACCGCTCGAGTCTCGAAGACGCCGCCAAAGCTTGGCTTAAAACAAGCCATCTGGCAAGTTTACCTGCCGGCGCCTCGGTACATCCCGAGAAGAAAATTTGTCATTTCAACGCCGAATCACGTTCACCAAGCCGACCTCCTGTTTCTACCTCACGGCAAGGTGAGGCGTAAAACCTAGAAGTATGCCCTGACAGTCATCGACGTCGCTAGTCGCTACAAGGAAGCCGAACCGTTGACAAGGAAAGATTCGAACGAAGTCGCCAGAGCCTTAGAACGTATATACTGACTGACTGAGTTTGGTTTTACGCCGCTTTTAGCAATATTCCAGCAACATCACAGCGGGGGACACCAGAAATGGGCTTCACACATTGTACCCATGTGGGGATTCGAACCCGGGTCATCGGCGTGACGAGCCAACGCTTTAACCACTAGGCTATCCCACCGCCCCAGAACGTATATACAAACGCAGTCGCTTGACCTGGCCTGCCATAATGCAAATTGATCCCGGACGCGAGTTCATGGGACTGCTGGCCAAGCACAAAGTCCAGGTGAGACGAGGTGTGGCGGGAGCTCACCAAAGCCAAGCCATAGTCGAGAGATTCAATCGCACCTTAGCCGAACGTCTGTTCTCACATCAGTACTCGCAGGATTTAATGGATCCCAAAAACAGATACACGGAATGGGTCGTACTCTTACCGCAAGTGGTGGATGCCATCAACAGCGAAGTCACCAGACTCGTGGGCAAGAGACCCGTTGAAGCCATCAAAATGAAATCTGTCGAATCGTCGTTAGCAGTGGCACGTCGTGATAAAACAGAGAAAACATTACCGGACCGGGTCAGCGTTAGGTACTTGTACCAGCTGGGAGAATACGAGGAACAGCAGAAAACGCGCTACCGATCCGATATGGTCCATGAAAACGTACAACGTAGACCTTATCGACATCAAAGACGGCGAACCGAAATTGTACTACTTGAAAGATGGACCACCGAGAGCATTCGTCAGAGAGGAGTTGATGATCGTACCTCACGACACAGTCCCTTTTAGATCGCCCACTGTATGATAATTCTCATGATTATTTGTGTGTGCTATTAGGTTGTGGTATGCTATGTGGCCAGCCAGCTCTAGAGCAAGCTGCACATGGTGAATAATAGCCGAGCTGAGACACAAACAAACACACACACACTGTGACTCACCTACAGCGCTCGCTCGGTGATACCGAGATGACCCGGGGAGGAACTGCCGACAGATGCGTTTCCTTCACTTTCAGACATCTGTAGCCTCGCTAGTCAGCCGGTCGTGCATCATTCTCATAGCCGAAAGCCGAGACACACAGCGCACACATATACATATACCGCCCACGCACTCACTCAGCAACCTCGAGACGGTAGCGAGGTGATGACTTCTGATACCTGCGTTTCATTCGGGCTAAAAACACCTCTCACCGATAATATATAACAAGTAACGACAATACGTTGGAATGTTAGCCTTTAAGCCTGACCGACACCATGCTCACTAAAAGTGATTATTTCCTAAACTATTTCACAGATTTACGGAAATTGTGCATGCATCTTGGCAGATGGTTACGCTATAGCAAAACGGCATTGGGAACACTCTTGATGACTTCATTAGATTAATTAAGACTTAATTACGACAAAAGTTGGACATTTTGCTATTCCCGAATCCACCCCATGCTCACTTAAAAGTCAAAATTTCAGAAACTATTCGACCGATTTTCATCAAATTTTGCATGCACCTCAGTAGTAGTATACACAATGGGGTTACGGGATTAGGGACTTCCCAAGGGCTCAATTTTAAATTGAGCCCTTGGGGGTACCTCTTGTGAGTCGAACTTTAGACATTTTAAACGCCGGAAAACATAAACGTAATGATTCCACCAGTGATGTTAGCTGAGGCAACTGCAAACCAAGAAACGGGATGTAATGGAGTAGTTTACTGTAGGAGGCTGTACAAGGCGATGACAACTGACATGAATCGTGGACGCCGGTTACATTGTGACGTAATGCAAAAGTGTTCGCTATTTGAGGGCAGACTAGAATGGCGCGAGTGATGCCAATACATTGTGACGTATCGCAAATAGTGTACATTATCATCTGATAAAGTACTGTCGGCGCCTTTGATCTTTCACCAAATCATCTTAGAATGTTTATTCATAGATGCACATCTGTAATCTTATGAAGCTTGTGGTCATTCAGTATAAATATAGGCATGCCCATCTTCATAAGTATTTGGCAGGGTTCAACTGCAAGTTTATACAATATAATAATTCAGTATCGTGTCACTTTTTGAATTCTATAATAAATGAACTTTAATTTGGATATTCATTCGTATCAAGGTGCAGATTATATTTAAATGTACAGCAAACCATAATGATTTATGTACTAGTTGTGTGCGCAAAATATATATGGAAATATATACTATCTCTACTCAATGGTTGGATTTCAATCGCTTTGTTTTAATTATCGAAAAACACTAAAACGTGTTTTCGATCTCCGAGGACAAATAAAGTCGCTAAAGTGTCTATCTACCGCTTTTTGTCTTATGCGTATATTTTACACATCGTTACCAGTGTGTATGTTTACAATACACAAACTGTTACATGAAAGCCTGACTTGATACAACCAAAACCCAGCATATCGACTGGTCAACGATATAGCCAATAATCAATCTCTATCCAAGCTGCTGAGTGACCAAACGTGCTCTTCAGAAATTTAGCCCACGCCCCATCACCTGCCCCTTCCTCTGTGACAGGTATCTCATGATAACGATTGGTCAGAGATCATGTTATTTTGCAGTATTATAATTCAGTTAAGTCTGCAATCTTATTTACCACACAACAGTTTCGGTTTTCTTCCACCACACGTTCCATTTATTACATCCGGTCATCTCGTCTTACAAAACACACACTCATGAGCGAAACGAAATATTCCGTATCTGACAATACCGACACGACATCCCTCCCCCTATCAGAGAAATGCAGTAATTACTGTAACCTTATAGCTTAAACAAATATTAACATAAACTGACATTTCTGCAGAATCATGAAGTCTGGACAACTTGAGCCAAATAACTAAGCATACCCTCAATACACTACTTTATGAACTCCAGCTCTTGTGTCTCAGTCATTATCAAAATAGTCAGAACTGAAATTAAATGTTGCAAACTACTGAACCAAATCAAAATAACATGAATACTTATGTCCATGAAACTGAACTCTCAGTCTATGCTGAAACAGTAAAACTATCAACTTAACGATGGTTAAGCAATCAGATCCCCAATCAGTCAAGCATAACAAAGTCATCAAACTTCTTTGGAACAGACTTCTGTCTGTCAGACCTCCTAAGACACTGATCAATATCCACAGTCTCTGAATGGCTAGCTTTATTGTCATCAACTCGTGCACCGGTTGGTTCTGTCAGATTGTTCAGCTGTGACTGATATGGCTTCACATGCGAAGTATTACGCCTATACTGAGCACCATCCTCACTTTGCACAGTCACCATGCTTCCTGCCTTAGAAATAACTTCAACTGGTGTTGGGAAATAAGGTATGTCTACCTGACTCATGTGTTCCCTTTTAAGCAACACCTTGTCTCCAGGAACAATCTTGGACTCTGCGGCATGGCGTTTTTTCATTGGCGTACAATTTCGATGAACCTTTCTTTTCGGCGTCTCTGTCACGAACCTCATAGTCAATGGATTCAGGAATCAAAACAGGTAACTTAGTTCTCATCTTCCTTCCAAACAACAGTTCAGCTGGGCTTTTCCCAGTTACTGTGTGGAGTGTTGCACGGTACTGAGTGACATATACCTGCAGTGCCTCTTTCCAGTTCTGCTTTGTGGCATGAGCAATCTTCAATCTCTTCACTAGAGACTGATTTTGTCTCTCCACCTCACCATTAGCTTGAGGCCAACGAGGAGTTACTCGATGGTGTTCAATACCACTGTCCGTCAGATAGTCTCCCATCACCTCAGATACGAACTGAGGACCATTGTCTGAGTAGATTGACACAGGCAATCCATGTCGTGAGAACATACCTTTGAGAACATCTACAGTTTTCTGTGCTGTGGTTGATTTCATCACCTTGTATTCATAGTATCTACTATAATAGTCAATCACCACAAGAATCGATTCACCAGATGGTAATGGACCAAGGAAATCCATTGCAAGGTTTTCCCAAGGTTTTGATGGCAGTTCTGTTGTCTGAATAGGTTCTGGAGGACTCGGCTTGCTGACCAGCTGACAACCGTGACATGTTTTGCAGAGCCTTTCTGCATCCTTATCCATATTTGGCCACCACACCTTGGATCTCAAGTTCTGCTTTGTACCAACAACACCAAGGTGCCCTTCATGTGCAAGTGACAAAACTCTGGGTCGCAAACACATGGGAATCACTATTCGATTACCTCTCAACACCAACTTCCCTATTCTGCACAATTCAGAACTCACAATCACATATTGCTTCAATTCACAATGATTCCAATCACTAGAATCAATACACTGGCGCACCATTTCCAACTCATCATCCGTTGCAGAAGCTCCCTCGACTTCTCGAGTTGTTACAGCCTGAGGAGTTGCATTCACTGCTACAAATCTGACATATTCTTCAGCACTACTTGACACAGCTTGAGGTTTCACAAACTGTTCTCTTGACAACCTGGACAACGGATCAGCTATATTGCTCCTTCCTGGTGCATACACAACCTTGAAGTCGTATTGTTGGAGGCGCAAAACCCAGCGTTCTATTCGAGCACAGGGTTTGGACTTTGGTGAATATATTGCTTCTAGGGGTTTGTGGTCTGTGACCAACTCAAATGATATCCCATATATGTACGGGTGAAACTTCTCGCACGCCCAAACTAAGGCAAGAGCCTCTTTTTCAGTTTGCGAGTACCTGCGTTCCACATCACTGAGCGAACGACTTGCATATGAGATGATCCGCCATGATGTATCCATCTGTTGCTGAGCAAGGACTGACCCAAGTCCAACAGGACTGGCGTCCGCGATAACTCTTGTTTTTGCAGCTAGACTATAGTAGCCTAGGGTTTTACCACTTGCAAGGGCAGCTTTGAGTGACTGAAATGATTCAACTTGATCCTTTCCAAACACAAACGGCTGGTTTTTCCTTGTTAGTTGTCTCAACGGCTCTGCTAATGTGGAGTAATCAGGGATGAAACGAGAGCAGAAGTTTACTAGTCCCAAGAAACTTCGGACCTCACTCGCATTTTCTGGCTGTCTTGCACTCACAACAGCTTCAACTTTGTCTTTGGTGATATCAATCCCCTGATCTGTCAAATGATGCCCCATAAACGTTATGCTTGACTTCTTGAACTCACACTTATCAACGTTTAAGGTTAAATTTGCTGATGAAAGTCTCTGAACGACTTGCTCAAGTCGTTTATCATGCTCATCTGTGGAAGGACCATGGACAACAATGTCATCTGATATATTGGCAACCCCTGGGATTCCTTGAAGGGTTTTCTGGATTTCATGCTGATATATCTCAGGTGCAGCATTTATCCCAAACAGCAGCCGCTTATACCTATACAGTCCACAATGAGTCACAAAAGTTGTAATGTTACGCGACTCAGGATGTAACTCCAGTTGATGGAAACCCCACTTCAGGTCTAACTTTGAGAAGACTCTACTTTCACTCATGTCCTGTAACACTTCATCTACTGTAGGTATAGGGTGCCTTTCTCTCAAGATAGCTTCATTGGCACGTCTCATATCCAAGCATAGCCTTATATCACCTGAGGCCTTTGGTACAATGACAACAGGATTCACCCATGGGGTCGGTTCTTCCACCGCCTCAATAATATCCTTCGCAATAAGTTCCTGAACTTTGGACTCAAGTTTTCCGTGCAGTCCAAATGGAACACGTCGCATTGGCTGGGCAATAGGCTTAACTTCTGGATCAATTTTCAGCTTGATCTGCTTATTTTTTCATTTTCCAAAGTCCAAGAAATACTTCAGGGTACTTGTTGAGGCACTCAGGAATCACTGATGAAGAATGCACTGAATTGATATTAAGTCCAATCTTCAGCACACCAATCTTCATAGCGGTTTCTTTGCTGAGGAGCGGTTCTGCCCTACCATCAATCACAGTGAACATGGCATCTGTCCTGTAATCCCCAGCTACTACTTCTGCTGTGAAAGTGCCTAGAGTTTTCAATGGTGTCCTACTTGCATATGGAAACAACTTTTTTACCACCCTTCTGTGACACACACCTGATGTTCTTAGACTTCAAATAGTTCCACAAGTTAGCATCAATAATGTTACTATCACTGCCAGAGTCAACAGTAATGTCAATATCAACACCACCCACAGACACTGGAATGACTTCACTGCTATAACCATTGCCTCTGTTCACGCTGTGCACATTGCTTCTCATAAGGAAAGCATAACCTTGGCCTTCATTATCTTCATCATCACTGTTATCTCTGCCTGTTTTCTCAGTTTCTAAATGCTTCACATCACCACGGCCATGTGATTTCCTGTTAGTTTTCTTGCCTCTGTAACCACTTCTATCTCTCTTTTCTTTTGATCTAGATGACTTTCTAGATAAGTCTGAATAGCATTTAGAAGCAAAATGGTCAAACCCTTTACACCTTTGACATTGTTGACCTCTTGCGGGACATGTAGAATCTCTGCCGTAGTGACCAACTTGTCCACAGCGGAAGCAGGAGTTGTCAACTTTCCCTGTCTGATTACTATTCCTGTTGAATGTTTTCTGTTCTCGTATTCTTTGGACCCTATCTGACTGTCCCCCCTTTTAAGTTCATATCTTTCATCTGTTCCTCGACAGCTTCAAATGTTGCAGCCATTTTCAACATTGATTTCAATGAAAGTTCATCTCCTTTTTCCAGAAACTTGCGTCTCAAATGGTCCGACTTACAATTTTCAACCACCTGATCACGAATCTGGTTTTCAACATCAGTATATTCACAGCCTTCAGATGCCTCACGTAACCTTGTTACATACTGTGACACAGTTTCATCACTCTGCTTCATTTTCCTGAAAATATGGCGTTGGTACGTTACATTAGGTTTGACAGTTAGATGGTCATTCAAAGCCTTTTTTTGCCTTGAAATATTCTTGAGACGACCCCCGATCTTGCAACGTCTTAAAAACACCTCTAAGTCCAGCTCCGGCTATATACAACAGTAGTGCACGCCTTTGTGCCTGATTATCTGCTTTTCCTTCCTCAACAAATAATGCTTTGCTGTCAGCGTATGCCTCAAACTCCTCTATCCAAGCTTTCCAACGGATACTCACTGCGCTCGCATCACCAGAGAGGTCGAATGACGGCATCGCGCGAACATCGCTAAATTCTGCCATTTTGTCACTGAACAAAGTTGCAATTTACCCTTTTACGGCTTCCTTGTGAGTTTATGATCCTCGTCGCCAATGTTATTTTGCAGTATTATAATTCAGTTAAGTCTGCAATCTTATTTACCACACAACAGTTTCGGTTTTCTTCCACCACACGTTCCATTTATTACATCCGGTCATCTCGTCTTACAAAACACACACTCATGAGCATGACAATACCGACACGACAATGCACTGAAACGTGAAATGTTTATTACGAGTACATTTAAGTCTTTTTGAGTGTAGATTGGAGTTGTAAGAGATGTTATTCTGACAATACCGATTATTTCTGGCAATGTATTCCATTGTTTTGCAGGACAATGTCAGACAATTTGATGTCAAGAATGAATGTTGATGGGCAAAACGGCAAGTTTTCTTTTAAGAATACAAGGTTGTATTCAATCATCTCTGGTAAGTTAATTACCAAGTGCAGCATTTTCATCATGACCATAGCAAATAATATATGACAGTAAAGCATCGTCTAATTCATCCTACCGGTAATTCATAGTCTAATTAAATAATCAACTTGCAATTGAGGATTTTCTTTGAAAATGTTTAAGAAAACTTCCATTCCTTCGGTTGAAAATATACATTGTTTACACTTTTCGTCATATTTTGTATTGATGCTGTTCATATGTTCACATGCCAAGTTACAGCAGTGAAATGAACCTTTCAAATGATTGATTAAACAAATACTTGAATCATTTAAGACAATATATCTTCCATATAACTTATTCATGTATTTAAATATAAAATTTCAGAATGTGTCCTATCTCAAGGGAATGAGATGGGAATGCATCCGAAGTAAATTTCAAGAAAGAGTTAGGAACGTTTCTGAAGTATCCACCTGACCGCCAGGCAGTGAGTGGCAGAAAGAAGAGGAGCTGAAAACTGTGTTTTTGGAGTTGTAATTGTGTTGAAAAATCTGAACTGTGGTATTGAAATTGGTGGCGTAAATGTCACTTTGATGCTATATGCAGATGATATTGTGTTATTAGCACAACAGAGATCACCTACAGACTATGTCATGTGTGATGTTTTACATTATGCATTAAACCACGTTTTCTGTGTGCGTGTGTGTTCATAAAGATTTCATGAAAAGTGACTTGTTTTATGTGCTGTCTTCAGGTATAGTTCCTGGTCATCTTGGATCCCTTTCATGGTGAAAGTAATTGCATTGTGTTTATTCAGGTGTCTGTCTAAGAGCTGAAATTCAGACAAAATGTCTTCTCGGGACAATTTTCACCTTTTCAAGGTAACAATACAACAGTAAATAGTTTTTCTTAATTTGGAATACTCTTTTCTTCTTACTGGAATTATACGTCCAACTGACATAAAACTTAAATGAACATTATATTGAATGTGGAATTTTAACCAAGTATTTTATCAGGTAAATATTTTTACTGCAATTTTCTGTTTGAAGTTGTTTATTGAGGTAGCTCCAAGATATTTTAGCTATGGAGTTTAAACTTCTTTTAGTTTAAAGATGAAATTCTCTACAGGAAAGCGTAATACCTCCGAGACCACCCACGGAACAACCCTTCATCAACGTTGAACTGTCAGACTTCAACACTATGATTCCACGTCGGATATCTACGTCAAAAACTTTCATATACAACTATTTTCAATCTGTCTTTCAGTGGCACATCACATTGATACAACTATTTTTATGGATTAAACTACTTTATAACGTTTGAGTTAGTTACATAATGAGTTAGGACTATGAATTCATGCTAAATTAATATGACGTTGAAAGTTGAATTGTCAATACACTGTACAACTGCTAGTTACATAATGATGGTTATGCTAAATAATAGAGTTGATAGCAGGCTTTCCAAAAGAATAGTAGACTCGTTTTTCTTGTATCTAAAGTTCATCTTGTAAAAAGTTCATCAAAAGTTCATCAAAGTTAATCAAAGGTCCCACGCACTTGGCAGGTATACACCTTGATCACGATTAATTGCTGGTTTATGTCTCCTTATCTCGACAGCTTCCTGTAGTTTTCTCCGACGCCAGTCATTGTTATTTCTCGAAATCACCCTAATATCATTCCACATGATTACATGACTTGGGTTATTTGCCTTGTGCTCCGATATAGCTGACTTATCATTTTGTTTGCATACTGATGATGCAATGGAAGCCCCAACCCTAGAGGATGTGTATACCAAATACCATGCAGCTGTGGCGATCAATATATTGGCGAGACTCTCAGGCCCATTAACACCCGGGTTGCTGAACACAAGTCATCAGTATGCAAACAAAATGATAAGTCAGCTATATCGGAGCACAAGGCAAATAACCCAAGTCATGTAATCATGTGGAATGATATTAGGGTGATTTCGAGAAATAACAATGACTGGCGTCGGAGAAAACTACAGGAAGCTGTCGAGATAAGGAGACATAAACCAGCAATTAATCGTGATCAAGGTGTATACCTGCCAAGTGCGTGGGACCTCTTGATTAACTTTTGATGAACTTTTGATGAACTTTAGATACAAGAAAAAACGAGTCTACTATTCTTTTTGGAAAGCCTGCTATCAAGTAACCTTTGTGTAATTAGCAGTTGTTGTGTATTGACAATTCAACTTTCAACTCTATTATTTAGCATGAATTTCATCATTATGTAACTAACTCACTTATACAGTACTCTCCCTAGTGTACTGTGATGTCACTTGCATTGTGACGTCATAACTCAGTAATGACGTCATAGTGACGACGTCATAGTCCTAACTGACAGTTCACCTGATGAAGGGACCTGGAATGGTCTCGAAACGTTGTGAGAGAAATTTAAAAAGAAGTTTAATCCATAAAAAATATCTTGGATATTTTCAATCTATTTTCAACGTTGAGGATCAACCGATTCTCAACGTTGATAATCGGTCAAACTTCAACGTTGATTCCACGTCTGATATCTACGTCAAAAAAACTTTCATATACAATCTATTTTCAATCTATTTTCAACGTTGAGGATCAACCTATTCTCAACGTTGAAACAACGTTGATGTGCCTGCTGGGATTGTTCGTAACTGATAAACTATTTTATCAGTTAATCATAATCATGGCTGGTACTTTGGTGGTCTTAATCCCTTACATGCTGTACGCATTTGGCATAATGTAATTCTACCAGATGCTTTGTATGGTTGTAATGTCTGGTGTGAGTTATCTCCCAAAGAATATGATATGCTGGAATTAGTACAAAAATAGTTCTGCAAAAAGGTTCAAGGTCTATATAAACGATCCAGTTCAGTTATTGCCAGAAGCTGTTTGGGACTCATTTCTATGCAGCCATACATAGAGCAGCAAACCCTCATATTCCTCAGGAGATTAATACGTGCTGATATCCGTTTTGTTTTTAAGAAAATGTTTTGTTATAGATTTACACAGTTCATTGGCGATGACGCTCCTTCATTATGTCTAAAGTGTAAGACCTCACTCATCTTTCATACGTTGGCTTTGGTTAGAAAATATAGAATATATGACTTAAATATGTACCTGGAAACTCGTGTATTTCCAA